AAGTAGTCATCAAGTCTCCCAACCAAAAAATTCCCATGGCCAGATGGATTCAGCACAGAATTCTACCAGAAATTCAAAGAACAACTAGTACTAATTCTCCTCAAAGTCTTCTAAACAATAGAAGCAGAAGGGGTTTTGCTATACTCTTTTTACAAGGCTACAATAACCTTGGTACCCTAGCCACACAAAGACACAACAAAGAGAGAACTACAGACTAATATCCCTCATGAACATTGATGCAAAAATACTCAAGAAAATACTGGCAAATTGGATCTAAGAACACACCACAAAATGATCCACCATGATCAAGTAGGCTTCATCCCAGGGATGCAGGGATGGTTCAACATACCAAAATACATCAGTGTAATCAACCATATAAATAAGAGGCGGTAATCTAGAATCACGCTTAAGCCCGCCATCTTGAAAACGGCAGTTTAAAACAGCTGCGGTTTTACAGATAAGACATGTGGCCAGAAAAACGTAAAGATTTACAGTAAAGTCAGACTTGGATGAACAAAACCTCTAAAGGTTTACAGTGTGTTTAAAATATATGTAAGATTGAGAGAGAAAATAAAGCAACAAAATAGTAAATATAAAAGCCGGTGTTGTGGTGGCGCACGCTGGTAGGATTTACTTCAGAGGCAGAGACAGGCAGATTTCCAAAGAGAAACCCTGTCTCAGAAAAAAATAAATAAAAGTAAAAGAAACAAAGTAATAATAGATAAATAAATAAGCCACGTAAACATGGAAAATACGCAGAGAGTCTGGATACTGTACGCTATTATGTTTTTCAGTTTTTTCCTTGCTAAGGAAGGAACAACTAAAGTACACTTGATTATAAATGCTGCTGAATTAACTCAACTTCTATCTTTGGAAAATGCCTTGACTTCAAAATTTAAGAATAAGAATATGTTACTTGGAAAAGGAGATTTTACTTATGTTTCTACAGAAAATGAAAAGCTGAGGATTCCTTCCAGGCTTCTGTGGTTTGACGAACCAAGACCCCTGGAAGCAGTGGACCAGGTGTTCCAACAACTGAAACAGCTAAGATGATGGAGCTTTACAGACCACAAAAATAAGGACTTATACAGGTTTCTGAGTTTTGTCATGATCCCCATGGTATGAACAGTGCCCCCTTCCAGCACGAAGCAGTTTGGAATAAGCGACCTCCTAATTCCCATCTTGTTTATAAATCTTTGTTTTCATTTAAATGGGATTGTTTATAATTGGCTAATGATGACAGCTGATCTCTTGTTAAACGGAAAAAAGGGGAATTATGGTATGGGTATGGTTTTTCATTTATTGATACAAATTCAAGGTCAATTTTGTGACATGTATACTTCTCTTGATTAAGTATTGTGCTTATTCTGATCTTTTAAAACGTAATGCATAATTGAATACAGACTATAGATAGTTATTGATAATAGAATTTATAGTTAGGTAAGTTAAGTTTTCTAGATATACAGAAATATATTTGAGATAGATCAACAGTCTTCAAACCTCTCAAAGACCTTCAGAAAATGGCATTAAAAATGGTTTAGGGTTTTTCTTGACAATGAGAAATGTCTGCTCCTGGCAGCACCAATTATGTCTGAGAGGAAAATGGGCATCGAAGAAACTCGTTATGGAGTTTGCTTTCAACATGGCAAGACTAGCCATTTGGGCAAGAAACTGATCTTGCATAGACTGACTGTTGCTGTATAAACTGGACATGCAGGACCCACAGGAAAGTGACTGCTAAACTCAGTCTTACAGGGTTCCTGCTTCATGGAAGAGTCTACCAGACTTTCCTCAGGACACAGAAAAATGACAGACTGCCAATGCAGATGGACAGTTTGAAACCTCCTGCTTTGCTGAGAAGTGTTCCAGACACATTGTGGCCTATGGGCTGAAGATGGATGCCCCAACGTTACAGAGGAACTTCAGGTAACTGCCCAGGCATCAAGATGTCTTTGTCAATCCTAGTGATTATATATTTTCCTTCCGTGATCTTTGATGGAGTTGAAGACAGATAGCTATAATTATAGTTTTCCTTAGTTATGATAAAAGATAAGCTACATATAGAACTTTAGACTCACAAGGATGGGATGGATGATATTTTCTTTAAATCTTGCTGAATGTTGATAGACAAAATATTGTAACTGTATTTTTACTTGATAACTGTTCTGTTATATATGATTTGACTATGTTAAAGTTAAGATCTTTCTTTTTGTTTAAACAGAAAAGAGGAGATGTAGGGGAAGTCCTGTTATTTGCCTGTTATTTGTCAATAAAGTACTGTTGAGCCAATAGGAATCTAGATAGGAGTGACTAGGAGTCAATGAGGATTCTGGGAAGGAGAAACACAGGAAAGTCAACATGTAACGCCATGGGGTAGGAAGCCCGGAACTATTCTCCGGTAAGAAACATACTTAGACTAACAATTATGGGGTAATTACTTCAGTCAGAGGTAGTTAGTAAGAAACAAGCAAGGCCAACAGCTTCATAATTAATACAGTGTCTTGTGTGTTTATTTGGGGACTACAAAGCTGCAGAGCCCAGGCAACTGGCGTGGGATAAACCAAAGCGGCTAGCAAAGAAAAAGCTGCCCTTAACAATGATCAAGTAGGCTTCATCCCAGGGATGCAGGGATGGTTCAACATACCAAAATATATCAGTGTAATCAACCATATAAACAAGATGAAAAAGTAAAATCACATGATATTCTCTCTAGATATTGAAAAAGCCTTTGATAAAACCCAGCACCCCTTCTTGATAAAGGTCTAGGAGAGATCAGGGATAACAGGAACATATCTAAACATATTAAGGGCAATATACAGCAATCCAACAGTCAACATTAAACTAAATGGAGAGAAACTCAGAGTGATTTCTCTAAAATTAGGAATAAGAGACAGTTGTCTACTCTCCCCATACCTCTTCAAAATTGTACTTGAAGTTCTAGCTAGAACAACAAGACAACAAATGGAGATCAAAGGTATACAAATTGAAAAAGAAGACGTCAATCTTTCACTATTTGCAGATGATATGATAGTTTACATAAATGATACAATAAAATTCTACCAGGGAACTCATACAGCTGAAAAACACCTTTAGCAAAGTGGCAGGATACAAGATTAACTCAAAGAAAAAAAAACCAGTAGTCCTTCTACATACAGACGATAAACAGGCTTAGAAAGAAATCAGAGAAATTTCTGAGAATATCGAAGAATATCACAATAGCCACAAACATCATAAAATGTCTTAGGTAATGTTATCCAAACACTTGAAAGACATGTATAACAAGGACTTTGATGCTTTTAAGAAAGAAATTTAAAAAGACACTAAGAAAATGGAAATATTTCCCTTGCTCTTGGATAAGTAAGATCAATATAGTAAAAACGGCAATCTTACCAAAAGCAATCTACAGATTCAGTGCAATCCCCATGAAAATACCTGCACAATTCTTCACAGAACTTGAAAGAACAATACTCAACTTTATATGGAAAAACAAAAGAAACAAAAAAGCCAAAACAAACCAATACAATAATGTAAGAGAGGCATACATGGTCACCATGGAGAAGGAAAAGGGGAAAAGATCTAGTGAGCTAATTGGGAGCATTCAGGGAGGGGAGAGGGAGTTAGGAGAAAAAGAAGGGGAGAAGAGGAGGGGTGATAAGGATATTAGAGAGTAGGAAGATTGAATCAGGGGAAGAATAGGTGTGAACAAGGAAAGAGATACCATAATAGAGGGAGCCATTATATGTTTAAATAGAAACCCTGCACTAGGGAGATGTCCTGAGATCTACAAGGATGACCCCATCTAGCAATCTAAGCAATAGTTTAGAGGCTATCTTAAATGCCCTTCCCCCCTTAATGAGATTGATGACTACCATATATGCTCATTCAGTAGGTGATGAAAGCAGAAGCAGATACCCATAGCTAAACACTGGCTGACCTCCTGGAATCCAGTTGCAGAGAGGGAGGAATGATGATCAAATGGGTCAACATCAGTCTGCAGAAACCCACAGAAATAGCTGACCTGAACAATGGGGGAGCTCATGGACCCCAGACCGATAGCTGGGAAACCAGCATAGGACTGTCCCAGAACCCTGTCAGTTTGGAGGTCTGGGCAATCTATGGGGCCTCTGGCAGTGGATCCATATTTATTCCTAGTGTATGGATGGATTTTGGGAGCCCACTCCACATAGAGGGATACTATTTCAGCCTACACATATGAAGGAGCATCTAGGCCCTTCTGCAAATGATATGACAGATTTTGGAGATCCCCCATTGAAGGCCTTACCCTCCTTAGGGAGCAGAAAGGGAATGGGATAGGAGGTAGGTGGCAGACAGGGAAGGAGCAGAGGGAGGGGAAACTGAGACTGACATGTAAAACAAGTTTTTTTTCTAGTTTGAATTAAAAAATGAATAAAAAAGAGAGTAAATATTTTATCCTGCAAGGAAGCTTGTTCAGTTTAGTCAGAAAACAACTAAAATGCTTCAGGAAGTCTCTGAAACTGACCAGATTTCCTCGGTGTTAGGAATAAAGAATAGTGTTTTGGGAGGGCAAGTGACAGTTTCCTGTCCTGTGCTGGTACCTAGAGGATAGTGGTCCTGGGGCTGACAGCCTGTAGATCCGGAAGCAGAGACCTATAGACGTGACCCATATTGAAAGGTTTATTGAGGAGGAGGTAAGAAAACAAGTTAAAGAGACACAGAGATAGAGAGAAGTTAGAAGAGAAGAGGAAGGCAGGAAAAGCCCTGTCAGCCCCGGGGGAACAGCAGGAAAGAAAGCAGAAGCAGGTGGAGGCTTTCTTTTAATGATCCAGGGTACATACACCTGCCATGTGCAGGTGGGTGAGAGGTGGGGCCAGGTTTGCCTGGATTACAACACTGGGCATCTCCATCACCATGCTTAAAAGGAGTAGTAAGGACTTCTGAGAGACGCCACTGGACAAACCTAGCTTAATAGAAGATGCAGAAACGAACCAAGCTGCTTGAAGATACAGCAGATTACTTACCTAGACCACAGATATAAGTCCACGTGCCTGGCAGAGGTTCAGAGGTGCTGAGGTGCCTGAAAGAGAAACTCTAGCATGTTGAACTGACTGGAAGCTGTACAGTAAGCTCCAGGGTTCCAGCTTTTATGACCCATCACCCATGTCATAGTGGACTTCAGTGATATGGCTATCTCTATGTCATTTCTCATCCTATAAGTGATCTCCCACAATATCCCTGTGACTTCAATAAAATGCATTGGTGCAGCAAGTTAGACTTTAGTGGTATCCTTAATTTTGACTGTCTTAGTTCCTTTTCTGAGATGAGTAGATATTTGCTGACATCTCCTCGGGAATAGTGTCATACCTTATGTCATCCCTCTATAATGGATGGCACTGGAATATATTATGTGCAACAAAATAAGCCAGACAAATGTAGACAAAGGTCACATTTTCTAGCTCACTTACAGAAATTAGTGAGTCAGTCCTGTAAAGTACAGAATGGAATTGTGAATGTCAGAAACAAAGATTAGAAATGGAGCAAACGGAATGCATGCAATTAAAAGTGACTTTTAGGGAAAGCCAAGAGTGCTGGGAGTGCATGGTTAGAGATCTAAGGTTGGACAGACATGATCAGGACCTGGTAAAATATGCATAGAATATAAACAAGCCTCAATAACTTACAGAATTATTATGAGTTAAAATGTAAATTCAGTTTGTAAATTCTTAAGAAAATGTCTGGCTTGCAATTGTCTACTGTGAACATAATAAGCCTGTTTATTATGACAGTATTTCTCAATAAGCTTGCATGAAATAGAATCTGAAATTGTGCCAAGGAAAATGGCAGACTCAAGCCACTAGATAGATCCTCCAGATCATTCAAATCATTTTTCTATATATAATAGCTTATGATTATAATACGATGTTATTTTTTTGGCTTTACGAGACAGGGTTTCTCTCTACTGTTTTGGAGGCTGTCGGACCAGCCCAGCCTCGAACTCACAGAGATCCGCCTGCCTCTGCCTCCCGAGTGCTGGGATTAAAGGCGAGCACCACCACCGCCCAGCTTAATATAATGTTATTAAGATGAGGTATTCTTACAGTTTTCCTGTGAGTACATCAATTATTTTAGCGTTATTGATGGTATTTCACAGAGAAAAAAGCCTTGAACCTTTGAAAGCCAATATGAAACTTACAATAAGATTACAAATACACAAACACGTCTCTAACTCTAACACTTATGAAGCAGTGATAAGAAGTAAACAAGTCGGATGGAAGTGGGAAGTGACATTTTAAGTTCTCTGTACTTTGGTGATCATCATCATAAAAATAAAACATTTGAAACTTTTATTTAGAAACAACATATTTGTTCAAAAAGATTTCTGTCATAGTGTCACAATAAAAAACATGCTGTTTTTTGCTTTGTTTCAAATAAGTGCAAAATTATTCAGACTGGGAATGTAGAACAAAAGAATATTGTGGTACTAGGGTAATAGTCTTTGTGCATTTTTAATCTATGTAACTATTCAGTAAAAGCAACATTATGGTGTTTTACCTTTCTATTACTGTGACAGTATACCTTAAAATTTATGTAAGAGAGTAAAGACTGATTTTGCCTTATGTTTTTAGAGGTTTCCAGTACATGATAACTTGGTTTTATCATTTGGGCAAGTATTCCAGCTGAACATAGAATTAGGAAGTGTGTTCACACAGTAATACTCTTAAGTTATACAAAAGTCACTCAGTGGTTCCGATTGCTCATTGCTAAACATTTAAAAAATGGCAAATGAATGTAAACCAAGTTTGTAAGTAGTGTTCAGTGTTTATCTCTTCAGTCAAATTCAAGAGTTCTCTCATTAGAATTTAAGCTCACTCAATACATCTGTATAATAATTTCTTATCAGTCCTCTACAAGAAATCAGTCTTGATAAACACATTCAGAAACACAGGGGCAGGCTAAAATTTATACTACCAGATGGTATATAAAATATCAGGTGGGCTTAATTGGCAAACTTTCAGTGGTGTCTTAGTTGCATGGGTGACTAACATAATACTTTTGTATTCATGTAATAATTTGCCACATCATGTACTGGAGTAGTTCTGCAATCTGAAATAGACAATGCCTATCAGAAGAATAAACTCAGCTGTTTCTCAGTGGCTTACTTCAGGCCTTCCCTTGTTCACATGTCTACTGGTTACAGAGGGATAGGTAGCTCTTTAAAAGTAACCAGTTCCTTTAAGAAGCTCCGGGGCTCCTGTTCTCACCAGCTGCTCCAGTTCCCTGTAGTTGGCTGTGAACCAGGGCAGCAGGTTGAGGAAGCTGTTCTGTAGCCACTTCTCTAACTGTTCCAGCTGGGAGGACAGATCTGGTCTGTTTACCAGGAGCCTGCTGGGATTCTCCCTTGAATTCAACTTCCTGGACAAACACAAACCAGTTCCCCCTAGATTCCATTCCAAGGCTTTATTATAGTTTTGAAGACTTAATACCTCTCTAAAAATATTTTATATTCAGGGCTTGCCTCTTTAAACCACGAGGGTCAAGTACAGCTGATAAGGTGGTACATTTGGAGTATCAGATCTTTTTAGATGGGGATTTATGGGATTTGGGAAAAGTAACACCCGCGGTCTCTATCAGTTTACAGGTTACATCTCTGTATAACCCAGCGTTCACTGTTCCTTCTCTTTTTCCCCAGAAAACTTTCCTCCTATGCAGTTTGTCCCTGAAAGCAGGAATGGTGACACACACTATTAGCTGGCATGTTCTTTATATTATCATAGACCTTCCATAACTTCAACTCTGTCAGGGTGACATCTTATGTGACTTATTTTATTTTACCATTCAATATTCTGTAGTAGAGTCTACTTATGTTGATTACTGTAGAATTTTATTTAACCTTCCCAGTGCTCTGCATTATTTTATTGTATGATAATATAACTTACAATTATGCAAATATCATCTGAGGAATATATTTTGACTAGTTCTAATATATATTTCCAAAGCAAAGTCTCAATCTCATCACTTATAGTTCAGTGTATCTTTTGCTTTATAGGGGAGGGAGTTTGGATAGAATGATAATGGGAAACATGAGGTATTCACTTATTATGGAAACACAAACATTTTATTTTTTAACCAATATGCCATTAAGCAATAGGTATATTCCCTGCACACCAAAAAAAATTCTGTAAAACTTGTGATTTTCATTGTCACTTGTCTTTTGCTAGCTATATGCAAAGGAAAATAATCTCACTTTTCAACTTTCGTTTTTCTAAAGAGATGCAGAATGGCTAGGGAGATTCTCAAATACTTATTGGCCATTGTCAGTTCATTTGCTACTAGTTCTTGTTTATGCCCTTTGCACACATTTCCTTTTGGGCTTACATGTCTTTTGTTAGTGAGGGATAGCTCTTCCCTATTTAATGTAAATGAGGAAGCATCTCCTAAGTCTGTAGTTAGCCCTCTAATGTCTTTTGCAATACACTTGTTATCCAGTGTTCTTGCTAAATGCTAGCATAATCTTAGTGGTTTTCTAGAATTCTTGTTTAATATTTTTGTACCTTTTATAGCTTATGACATGCTTCTCCTTGGCTTTTCCAAAGTAATAAGCCAAAGTCCAGGCTCCAATGTGACTATATGTGGAGATACAGTCTGAGTAGTCGGAATTTGTGGGGCTCATAATCTTTTCAGATTGTTATAAGAGAATACTAGAGATTGTGGGCTTTAAAAAATCAGAATTCTGAAAGATTAGAAGCATGAGATCAAGGTGCCAGGAAAGCAGCTTTGTTAGGATTTCCAGTGCCTGTGCTTGTAGGTGACTGCATTTCATGTTCTGTTTACATGAGCTTTCAATAGACACAGAGAGGAGAGAACACGTCTTTGGTGTCACTTAGAGCACAACTATCCTATCATTATAGAACTTAAATCTTCTGAGCTCACATATGCTTAAACATTTCTAAGAAGAACCCATGTACAAATCATTGCTTTCTTGCATCAAAATGAGAGTGCTAGTGCAAGCTCATGCAGTTATTACAGAATGCAGGAGAGCAAGCACTTGAAGAAGAATAAATATTGGTTGACATAATGACACAGGAGACAGAATTCCAAAAGCGCAGAACCAGAATTTGGTAAGAACTTTGCACCTCTCTCATAAAAAGGAGGCAGACATTGCATTACAAATTCTATCATGTATTCAAGTTGAGACCTGCTTCTTTCTAAAAAGTCACTCACTAATCCTACCTTAGGTGTCTCACACTCTTGATCTCATTTCCTAATTATCTTTCAAAAATACCATCTCTAAATACAATTCTGGGATCAATATTTCCACATGTGAATTTTCATAGAGTAGAATCAAATCCGGACAGGAGAAGACAAAAATACTCAGTCCCCTAAAATAATAGCATATAATAACATGTTTGGTGGCCTTATAAAAAGACTCATGTTTATGATTTTTGTTATCTTGCTTGAAATGCTAGAAAGAAAGTGTATGTGAATCAGAAAAGCTGTGTGAAAGCCAAAAAGTGAGTAAACAACAAAAGAAAATTTTAGTCTTGGATGTTTAGAATGTAGAATTGTGAGAAAGACATTTCTAAATTAAAACCTTACATGGTAGACAGACTGTATAGTTACTCTGCTTTAAGAGGAGACCTGAATTTAATTGCCCTCAGTGGATATAATATCACATAGTTCATGAGATGTCATGGTTGTTTATGTTAGAAAACACATTTCCTTTTTTTTTGATAGTGGATTCTTGACAAAGTAAGCTGCAATGAGGCAAAGACTTAGGTAGTAATTAATTAATTAATTAATTAATTTTGGTTTTTACGAGATAGGGTTTCTCTGTATTGTTTTGGAGGCTGTTGGTCCAGCCTGGCCTCGAACTCACAGAGATCCGCCTACCTCTGCCTCCAGAGTGCTGGGATTAAAGGCGGGTGCCACCACCGCCCGGCTAGGTAGTAATTTATTGACAGCAACTTTTAATTTCTAAAAATTAAAAGACTGGGCAATCTGTTTAATATCTTCTGTGAATCCAGTTCCTACCAACAGTCTCCCAATCTTGGGAGTAGATATATCCCAAGTGCAGCTTGACCATGACTTTGTTGAAAGCTTTCTCAAAA